ATTTCACGATAGAAATGGGCTGCGTGGACGAAGTAAATAATTACCAGGATCCTCACAACACGACCCAAAAAACTTTAAAGTAAATAAAGTGCTGCAAGCTAAAATCGACTTTTGCTCGGAAAGAAGATCGTGCCCATACACTTGCACGCCATTTTTCTGATAGGACATTGCCATAAAGATGAAACATTGATTCATATATTTCGTGGAAGCTCCTCTAAATAGGACTTTTAATTAAAAATTAATGACAAATAAGTATACATATAATCATGGGTATACCGTATCGAAGGGTGAATTAGTGAGGAAAAAAATTCCTCCGTCTGCACGGTCTGCAGAGTCTGCACGGTCTGCAGAGTCTGCACGGTCTGCAGAGTCTGCACGGTCTGCAGAGTCTGCACGGTCTGCAGAGTCTGCACGGTCTGCAGAGTCTGCACGGTCTGCAGAGTCTGCACGGTCTGCAGAGTCTGCACGGTCTGCAGAGTCTGCACGGTCTGCAGAGTCTGCACGGTCTGCAGAGTCTGCACGGTCTGCAGAGTCTGCACGGTCTGCAGAGTCTGCACGGTCTGCACAGTCTGCACGGTCTGCACAGTCTGCACGGTCTGCAGAGTCTGCACGGTCTGGAGAGTCTGCATGGTCTGCAGAGTCTGCAGAGTCTGCACAGTCTGTAAGGTCTGCAGTCTGCGTTTCAACATGACCGAGTTGAAAAATCGTCAAATGAAGTGGCTTACGTTTCATACATCAAGACTTATCTTGTTCTCAACAAATTTCCGCTTACCATCCTCATCTGTCATGGCATAAACTGGATCACTGACTGGTCCTAACTTGTCCTCCCATGTAAAACCAAGAATACGAATACTGAAGTTGGTAAAAATCTGTAGATTTGTCAGAACCGTTTGATTCATGCCCCCACACAGGACAGTACTCTGCAAGGAGCTGTTTCCATTGTTTACCTCATTGAAGACGACCCTGTATCCTATTATGACCCCACCAACCTGGTCAGCGGGAATTTTAGTCCATGTGACCTGAAGACTCGTAGAGTTTAACTTGAATGCAGCAATGTTAGTGGGAGACTGTGTAGGAGCTTTGAAAGAATCAAAAATCAGAGTTTAGAAGGCAATGATTGGTGACACGCAACCGAGGCAAACAAAATGAATCTTGTCAGAATCTTGAAAGGGTAATTTCTTTTAATGGTAATGACAAACACTGACTCAAAAATTATGCCCCTGCGGTTCATTTTATGTTTTAAGAACCCAACTTCAAATCAAATTCATCAGATAGCACGCAAGCTGCTTTCCTTATGTAAGCTTTCTCTTACCTGTGTACTTATGCTATGAAATTCTACTTCTTCAGTATAGGTAGAAACGTGGACTGCGCATGGCTATCACATACCTAGTGGTGCGGTCCAAATAGACAAAGGCTCACTCATTTTCCCGTCGCCCTCCAAAGTGAAGCTCCGAGCGGTGATCAAATACTTCGTGTAGGGCACCAAATTCTGTATCACGTAAAAGGTATCGCCGGTTGTTCTCAGAATCACTTTACTCTCATTACCAAGAGTTGTGTCCTGATAAAATAGTTCATAACCTTGGAATATTCCATGGTTAAGTTCTGTTGGTCCGTTCCACATGATATTCAAGTCGATTGAACGTTCCTTGATGAAACTTTGAGCATGAAGACTTACCGCGGTTATGAATACTAAGAAATAAAAAGAGCATGCAGTTAGTAAAGACAATTCTTGTTCTTGTCAAAACCCACTAAACTATTTTCAAATGGATAATCTTTCGTAGAGGTGCAATATTCTTCGGTGACAAGGTGACGCCACATTTTGGCGTAGTTGTTCTCATGGTGGTGTTTGTCATATTTTGGACTTTGGCAACGAAAGTTTTCAATAATTAAACTATAGTAGCGACTTGTTACCGGGTAAAAAGTCTTAATAACTTATCCGGGTCAACCAAAATTGACAAATACTTTTTTTGTTAACGATGTCTTACGAATGAATACAACAGGGGAAATAGCGCATAGTTTACCATCAAACCTTGACTTGATGTACTCTATCTAGTTTTTCTGGCACGCATCCAAACATTTATAGATGAGCTTTTGAATAAAAGCATAAGACTTACTGTCATTGGCTTCAAGATTATTAATCTGGTATGGAGTTGTTGAGAGCCAGTTTATGAACGGTTCTACTGCACTGTACCCTCTGTCGGTAAAATGTAAAGCAAACTCGCAACCTGCTGCTCCCGAAGCCTCCCTGTTAAAATGTAAGTAGGAAGCTTCCATTTTGCAAGTATATTGGTGAAAATAGCTTAGTTGTGTAAACGAAATTCATGGAAAATAATATTTTGTACGAACTCTAACACATTTCCTAGCAATTTTCTGCCCGAAATGTTCTTGGTTCGGCTTGTTCTGGTATGTTCTCAAGATATCTTTTCTTCTCTTTTGTAATCTTTTAGAGGAAAAAACCTTTCTTTAAAGATGGAGGGAGACTTCAATTATGATCTTACTTACAACTTCGTTTCCGGGCTCCTTCATGGAGCAGGAAGGAAAGGGAACCTGGGAACAATGATCACTGTTGGATTGATTTTTGGGACGAGGTATCTAGATCTCAGTCTGATTCCAATTTTACAACTACAACACCCGTAGAAATTTAAGCTGTCTAAAAAATATATTGATCTAAGATAGAAGTGTCCGCATAATGAACACCGTGTAGATTTTTTTTGTAACTGTAGGGCACATCTCAATAAAAAGTCATCTCCGTACTTAATAAGCATAATTGTGTCGATAGACGGTCTGTTAAAAACTTGTCTGAATGATTCAACTTACCAGTATTTGTAAACAGTAACACTGCGATAGCCTGGCTTGTTATGATACAGTGATTGCATCTGAAATGAGTAGTGTTTTTATTTTTTCAACTTAATCTAAGCCCTTCTTCGAACCTTAACAGCATTTGTTTATACAATGTAGTTATGATGTTTTTTGCAGTCGAACGTCTCAAGAGCCACCATTTCGCATCACATCCCTTCCTTCTCCCATACCTTCCCCGCTAGGTGCGCCATTTTGCAGTGAAAGCAGAAGTGAAACGCTCCTGTACGGTGGCCCATAGGGGAAATGACACATTTTTTATCGCGCGATAAATGAAAAATAACGCGCGATAAACGAAAAATTATCGCGCGATAAATGGAGATTATTGCGCGATAAACGAAAATTATCGCGCTATAACAATTAACAATTATTGGACGAGGTTGTGCAAATTATCGTGATTTGTCTGTGGCGAGCAGGTCAATTATTTGCTGAAGCCGATGGCTGAGGCAAATAATTAATCTGCGAGACACTGAAAAATCACGATATTTTGCGATAACCGAGTTCAATAATTGTTTTATCACTCGATCACCGAGTTTTTTTTCAATTTTTTAGGGGAAGCGGCAGGCGAGATTGTTTTCAATTTTTTAGGGGAAGCGGCAAGCGCGCACTGCTGCCAGAAATCAAATGGTTTCCTTCTCAGTTAAATAATTTATTGCTTTCCTAGTATTATCGCTATTCTTTTGATCAAGTAATGATTTCAACTCCCTCTCTGGCAGCTCGCGGAAGCGATCGCGATCTGCCATTTCACACAAGAGCGACCACAATAGCGTGGTTACTACTGCGCATGAGCAGAATATCATTTGCAGCAAAAACGGAGTTAGACGGTAGTACGCATGAGCAGACCATTATTTGTAGGCAGTTATTTGCAGGTCAAGTGGTGGGCTCTCAGCCGATGAAAATGGGGGAAAAAATTTATCGAATGATAATATAAATTATGTTGCGATGATTTCTTATTTATCACGCGATAATCTACGATTAAAAAAAAAAAAAAATGGTGGCATGTCCCCTATGGGCCACCGTACTCCTGTGATAAAATGTTCCATTTTTCGTAAACTGTGCGCATAATTCTTTAAACTTGACATAGAAACTGACAAATTTTTGTCACTGCCGATATGCGATGACTACGTTTCACGGCCAATCATTTTGTCAAACATTTGGTTTCACGGTCTAGTCAACGCAGGCGTTCTAGAAGTTTTGTTTTGTTAAGGTAACAGTACTTCCCTTTGGAGAGAAAAACGGGAAATTAGAAATAAAAAATCAAACGATTACGGTTATTGTTTTATAGCACTTTTCAATTGTTTGCAGATCATGCATTGGTTTTGCTTTACTTCCCCCATCCAGAAAAATCGCTCTCCTCTCTTAACTAATCGGATGCAAATTTAATTTCAATCACGATATAGTCACCCACGTTTTCCTGCTCTTTCAACGGTTTACTTGTTTGGATTTGAGTTTTCATTGCCTCTTTAAGATGTTAGAGAGATTTAGTTCTGCGTCTACGTGAAATGTGAACGGTAAGAGGGACCACGTGACCTTGTTTTTCCCGCCATTTTTTCACGTTTGCCGGTTGCGCTTTGCCGTTTGTACGTGGAAGTAATTTGTTTCGCGTTTGCCGTGTACGTAAGGTTTTTTTTTCAATTTTCCTCTCTCACAGAGTAGAAGTTGATTGCCGGAAAAAGGGCACCAAAACTATTCTTTGTAAGTTATACAAGGGCGCCTCAAATCCATCATGCCGGTTAGCTCACGCGAAGCTGAAGCAGCAAGGTTCACCTTATATTACACGAAACGTGAAACGGCAAGCTGACATTTGCCGTTTCACGTAAAAGCGGTGCTAAATCTCTCTATCTTCCTTTTCATCGGATTGGCCTTTGTGATTCCTTTGATTTTTGTTTTACGACACTCAATCGAAGATTGCTCCATCGTGTCTCTCATGAAATCATGGTGCAGTGGACAGAGGGAGAACCGGTTTTATATTGTTCATTTGAACATGACCAAAGTAAAGCGCGCACTCTGATTGGTCAACTAAGCATCCACCATTTGCCCATGGGTGTACGCTGCTGACGTGAGCAAACGCAAAGACTAGTTTTCCGCGCGCACTTGTTCTTCCTGGTCACGTAAGATTTGTTAAATAAAAGGAAACTGTTTTGCTACATGTATCAATGTTATGTTATAAAACAAATGGTAAACGCCACAGTGTACTCTATTGAGTTACTCAAGAAGCTAGAGCCGCTCTCGGCAATCTCCTCGCGCGACTCTTATGCTTCTTTCGTGCTGAGCAACCTCCCGCGTGTATCCATAGCTTAATAGTGTATGCTGCGGTGTTTACCATTTGTTAAATGTTTTCATTAAATTCTGGCGAGATCTTTTTGACCTTAACTTTCTACCGGAGAACCAAGTTAAACCTGAAATGCTTACGCAAGTAATTTCCAGCATAGCTTAACCTATCATATCAGTACGCATATTCTCTTCACTCTTCTCTATACATTTCGTAAAGTGCCGACAAGGAAAGTCTATTTAACAATCAAGAGCTTTTTCAGTTGGTGATCATTTCCTTTTTTCTCGTGACCTTAATGTTTGATTCAGGGATGATATTATAACGAAAAATTAAATAATAAAGGGTTATTTATCTGATGAGTGAATTCTTACTTGATTTGTCATTGCTTTCGTCCAGTTTTTATAAGTCTCTGATTCGTGGTCCAGTAGGTTTGCTTTCCAAGCACGACCCGTCAAATGAAGGTTAGCGAGAAGCAATAAGTTAGCATCTCCTGAAAAAAAGATGGTATGATTTTTTCAAAACTAGTTATGAGCAGTTTTTATATGAATCACAGTACAGCGGAGCACGCAGCGCGGGCGCAGCGAGGCCTCACACTTACAAATTGCTACACGTGGTAAATTCATGTTTTATCCTTTCAGACGCTATTGATTTTGAAGGTGTTTGAGTTGAAATGCGTTGTTAATTGGAATCTTGATGACCCCAATTTTGAAGTAAATGTGGTGCATAAACCCGTGAATAGCGGAAAAGAATTTTATAAATATATATATCTTATTAGACGTTTTGTTGTGTAGTATCGCTGAGTATTTTTACGAGTTGTGCCGTATTTTGACGAGCCGGTAGGGCGAGTCAAAATACAAATAACGAGTAAAAATACTCAGCGATACTAAACAACAAAACGTCTTATAAGTTATTTATTATTCAACACGCCAAACTGTTATTTCAGTGCGGGCGAATTTCGCGGATATTTATTTACGGGGAGTGCGTGACAGAAGTATGCGAAGGGGAACGGAATTGGCGCGTTGTCGTGTTGCTGTTTCTATTTCTTCAATAAAAGAAGAAATTTCCAGGTCGTCAGCTATTTTTCTTCGTTCGATTCATCTAATAAACTTGGATGTATATTTGCCAGCCATTCTGACTCTTCGTCGTCGGACTGATATGATTCAAACTGTCGGCCATTTTTTTTTTGTAACTCTTCGAGAAAACCTGTTTAACCGGTACTCTGGAGTACAAATACCGCGTGATATTTATACTCGTCTATGGCGTTATTTGTACTCTACGAAGTGTAGTTGGATAATAAGAGCCCTTATTGCTGCATGTGTGTGTTCAGGTGGGTAAGGCGATATTCTACCATTTGTTTACACTGCAAAACATGTGTTAGTCTATTGCACTCTTCAGAAGAAAGAGAGTAGGCTACTGATATTCTTTTTGATCCGAATAATTTTCAGAATCAAGTGTTCATTGGTTGACTGTGGTAATTTTGGTGTGAATTTCTTTTTTTTAGAGAAGAGTCGTCCAGTTGATTTTACTCAATCAGACTGAACAGTCAACTGATAAATCCTTTTGACTTTCAGAAATCATCACTTCTCCGTACAATAAGAACGCCAGACGTGTTGCGATTATGTGCAAGATTCTCTGAATTCATTTAGAGCTCAGAAAAAGAAGAATTAAATATCATGACTTCAGAGTAAAGGGATGGCAAAAAAAAAAAAAAAGAAAAACCCGTAGCAACGAAGTAAAAGTAAGATTGAATTTTGTTTCAGCTTCAATGAAAAAAAAAGTAGAAAATCAGAGTCAATTTGGTAAACGAATCACTTCGGTGCCAGCTTCTTGGTTAATCACATTTGACGATAAGATAAAAGGAGTGTTTTAAAAACATGAACAGAATGTTACCTTTGTAGTAATCATACGCTGTGGCAATATCTGCACTGGTCAGGCTTCTGTACCAAATGATTATTTCATCGAAAGCTGCTTCAGGAAGCTGACCTTGAGGATCTCCGATAGACATCCGGGTCGCATCGCTAACACCAAAGCTCCCATCACTGCAACCTTCGAAAGCAAAGTCTTCGACTTCTCCTCCATTTAGGAAAACCTTTATATTTCCTAAATCGTCGGTGGAAGTGTAACTTAACGTATAGTGTGTCCATATCTCTTTTGGCGTTGGAAAGACAACTTTACAATTTTTGTTGGAACTAACAATCTGGAAAGCCACTTGAGGAGAACTAGAATCTGTTTGAAACATTTTGTGACCTGTATAGCTACCACTGCTCGAATCAAGAAAAACTTGTCTTGAATCTTTGTGTCTATACCACAGCCAAAGCATAAGTGTGAACCCATTTGTGCACTGAGAGGTGTTAAACAGACATTCGTTAGGTGGGAGACCTTCATTCAGTGTAAAGGCGCTGCTGCCTCCATAAACCTTCACAGCTTTGCCTCTTATTCCTTTTATTGTGGTAGCATTAACTGGGGCGACGCCATAGTCAGATCCCATAACGTTGTAAATGTTCCTGTAGTTATCCATAGTCCAGTAAAAAGCAGCTGATTCGAGCAGTTGGTCAATCGGTAAAGGCGAAAATCCTGAAAGAGAGAAGAAAACATCGAGCATTCTCATCTTGGTACTGGGTTATGGATGAGGAAGCGGGGGGGAGGGGAGGGGGGTATGGCGTGTATGTGAAAACGTTTTGGAATCAATTTTATTCTAGGTGCATTTGAGCCTTATAATTATATGACCTGGATCGCTCCCAGCACTGATGGTTTTGGGTCATTACTGATTCAGTTTAGATTCTTCGCTAGCTAACACTCGTAAGGAAACGGATTTTGTAAGCTATCTTTTAGAGGTCTAGCCTTGACTTCAGAATTTGTAGTTTAAATCAATACAGCATAAATATCGAAAAAAGGGGGGAAATAGGCAGTTCCAGTGAAGTAATAAGACAAGAAAAAGGTGGATTTACAGAAGTAACATGACGACGATTTGCCTTCGAACAGTCTTGTGTATGCGGTCGGGAGCCCCCTAAGTAACTCCTCGATGATTAGAGGAGGCTCTTAACTACATATTAATCATAAAGAAGATAGATGTTGATAAAGTCGTGATACAGTTAAGGGAACATAAAGTTAAATTAAACGTGTTTTATACGGGCTGTGGTGTTGCTATGACTGAATGGTCTGTCAAGATGATTAAACTTGTAAGTAATAGTTTGTTATTTAGAGTGCTTAATAAAGACTTTTATTATTCATTACTCTTTAAAGGAAAAAAACAAAATTGTGATAATTTAATTCAGTAAAAAAATTGGTGTTTAAAAAAACGAAACTGTTGTGAGCCACTCTACTAGAGGACAAAAAGTTTATATAGTTTTGTTTTAAAATTGAAGAACACCAAGGATGTAAGGATATCGGAGGCAACCAAGAGGTCATGCATGGTGATGAAGAGCACATTCTGTGAAAAAATAATTTAAAAACCTGTGTCAAGTGTCTCAAGGAGTACAAGAACTAACAAATCGCTCTCAAGAATAAGTGGTGAGGAAAAATTACTTTGTCGTGTTCTGCACCATTCCTCGCCTCTCATTGTCGGGTCACAAACGCATTGTCCTAAAACCTCATCACAGAATTGCCCTTCCAAACAAGGCAGATCACAGACAGTTTCTATAGAAGGAAGAAACTATGGTTCATTATAAAGGAGAATTTCATGATCATTACGATAGATAATGTTGTGCCTGTAAAGGATACCTCATTACGTCTCATTTGGAGAGTTAAAGTATATCCAATTAGTTTCCATTTCAAATTGCAGGTGGTATTTCATCAGATCATTAGTTGAAACTTTGAAGCCACCAAACCAAAAAGACACCGTAAAACACGTTATGAATACCCCCCCCCAAAACAAAAGACACTCTCGGTCGCACTAAGGTTTTTTACTTTTCTTTTCTAGATCCACTGATGCTTTTTTTTTAAGTGATTCAACTTCAGTGTGTCCAATGACAAAAAAATATATGAAAGTTTTATAATTTCTGTCAGTTACCATGACATCCATACAGTTCCACCCTCATTGATATATGATCAGACCACTGTAATGGAAGGAAACGGACGTAGCGGGCTGTGATGGGTGGACTGAGGTCATGTGAAACAACAGTATCTCTGTTTGTGTTTCCAAAAAATTCCTGAAAGATAAATACGCAAAAAATAAATAAATGAAAGGATAGGGAAGGGCGCAGTAGCTAAACGTTGTTTACATAATAATCTGACTTACGTTCACATTTCAACTGACTCTTACTCATGAACAATTGGAGGACAGAAAAATATATAACGCCTTTATTGACGGTTTTTTTGCTTCTTGCTGTTATAAAGAAAGAGATTCCATGTTGCCGTGGGTCAGTAAAGTAATACATCACATGAGACGTCAAAATGTGGTAAGAACATCAATGACACCCTTGGCTGCGTCTCGCACGCCATTGTTATGTTCACACCACATTCTGACGTCATCTCTCGTGTACTACTGAACAGACACACGGCCGCATAGCATCTCTTTTTCTTCAGTTTAAAAATAGATGGTGGCCTGGCATCCTTTCTAGGGGGTGTGGTAATTATCCTAGTCGCTTCACGCTAAGGAAACTGGGATAAGTCCTGGCTAGATTAGCTGTTTGGCTCGAGTGCAGACATCTTTTTAATCATTTTTTCATAAAAATATAAGAAAGCAAACAAACAAGATGAAAATGATTCTCATGGGTAAGATATTCAGACCTCAGCATCATTGTGATATGATCTCTTGTAGAAATAAAGGGTCGCTGGATGGTGACCATACTTCAATTTGTACTTCGTCACCCATTGGTTGTAATCACTTCTGCCTTGTGTCGAGACGCGCGTCACTATACTGTAAACTCCAAGGTCAACCTGGAGCCACTGATGCACATCATTGGAGGCAGCTGCCCAAGAGCCAAGCTTGCCTGCACTTGGTTGAGTGTTCAGTCTACTTTGACTGGCGTCTAATCGGGTGTCGTATTCTGAAGAGGCACTGATCTGTCTGTCAGAGATTTCACCGCCTTCCATGCCAAGAGCGGAGAGGGTTTCTATAACTTATATGGAATTGATATAGATTGCATTTTAGCTTTAGAGTCAAAGAGAGATTTGAAAGGCACCTGGTAACTATGGGAAGAGACGTAATAAGCCCTTTTTGATCAGTTTGTGAAAGGTCACTTATGCATTCAGCCTTGAACGTTACTTTGTCAATTTAAAGGCAATCAGGATTAGTCTAATGATCAAGATATAGTAGAAAAAATATTTGTTTGTTACCATGACATCCATATAGCTCAACTCTCATCGATATATGAGCAGACCAATGTAAGGGAAGAAAACGAAAGAAACGTGCTGTAATTGGTGGCTTAAGGTCATGTGATACAATGGTATTTCTGTCTGTGTTTCCAGCGAAAACCTGCATCCGGATAAAGGAAAAATATGGTAAAAAAAGTTATTGAATTTTTTTAATTTTTGCGGTAGATTTTATTCACGACAAGGGAGACATCGTGAAGATCCATCGAACTTAAGATATGAAGTTGATCATTTGCTCTGCACTAATAGATGAATCAAGGCCTTTCATCAGATAGGCTCAAACTCAACCAACTCGTGGTGAATGTTTGTTGTTGCAATATTCTCTTCATTATGAGCCATGATCGATGAAACCTGAGATGACCTGTTACATGTGAGCTTTCAGTAGTTTCCTCGGTGTTTACATTCTATTAAGTATCTTGTTTTCTAATAATGTTCTGACAATTGTCTCATGGGAAGGGTTCATGCAATATTCCTGCACATTCCAGGTAGAGTGATTTCTTTGGGCTTTCTTTCTGTTATATTTCCTCTTTGCTCTGATTGAATGATATGACTATTACTTCGGCGCAAGTGAGGTAGCAAAAACTAACAGGATTTTTCTGGTATCATAAAAATTCAGGCCAGGTACTTATCCTACGGCTCATTTTGAGGAGTAAGCAAAAAGGCTAGCTCGTGTTCTAAAGCTCTGGACTGCCGTGTGGGAGGTCGAGGGTTCAAGCCCCAGACCAGACCAACACTCGGGGTCTTAAAATAACTGATGGGAATGAAGAGGAAGAAAGGGGAGGTATGCACTTCACCTTGTCGTTTCTTTTTTCTGACTCACGATAGTAGAGAAAGTTTAATCCATTTACGCTGTACTTTAGATTGTATTTTGTCACCCACTGATCGTAATCTCTGCGTCCTTGTGTTGCCACTCGAGTAACTTTAGCAAAACGACTTAAGAGATCGATCTGCAGCCATGGGTTTTTGTCAATTGTGAGAGCTGACCAACTTCCAGTTTTGCCAGGGACGTTATAATTCAGTCTGGCCTGAATGGCGGCATGATCCGCTGAATATTCTGAGGAGGCTCTAATCTGCATATCGGAAATTGCACCACTTTCCATACCAAGAGCTGACTGGCATTCTGTCGTTCAAAAGGTATAACTTAAAAATAACTGCTGATCATTTAAGTGAGCTATCGACACTAACTGCGTCTTGCATCCCTTACCCATAATCCTCATCTCACTTTCCACAACCCGCTTGTTCTATTTTGTAACCCGATTCCCGCATTCCAAACCTCAAATCTCACAAACCGTGTCGAATACCTCGTGTTCTGTATTACCCATCCCGAATCACACATCTTGCATTCCACATCCTCCCATAATCTACAGTCTGTTTCTCCCTTGAAGCTTCTGCATCTCTCTTTGCACCAAGATAAAAATCCCACCAATAGCATATCTCACAAATACAAACGAAAAAATTCAAAGTAAATACTGTAACAACTCCTTATGTTTTTTAATAGGAAGTTGGCTATGCCTTGTAAGAGAAAACAAACAGAAATATATCGGACAAAGAAAATGAGTGTGTTGAATTTATTCCAGATATGCTCAGGCCACGAATTCCTTCAACTCCCCCCGTACCATCTCCATATCTATTACTTTCTCACAGCTATTTGTTAAGTAATGACTCATAAAGTTTTTTACCACAGTAAAACAAAAGAGTTAAATCGATTGAAACTGCAACAAAATTTCGAACACAATAGATCATCAGTAACCTGATTTGAACTCTACTAGGACCGTACGCGCCTTTTGTCTGTAACGGAATAAAGTTATAGGTCAGTTGGCGTAGATCAAGTGTATATAATTGGACACTACACTCCGTTTGAAAGCTCTGTTGTATAAACTGTTGAGTTCAAATTCTTGTGGAAAAGGAAGCTGTGATTTTTTTAAAGTAAATTTTAAACTCCGGTTATTGCACTTCTGGTGTTCTTTTTCCGTTCAGTCAACTCCGGTATCAGCTCATATGGCGAATCACCTTATGTGGAAAACAATACACCAAGCGTTCTTCAGCTCAATTTACTTTTAGCTGGAAGCAAACACTTCTCCCTTGCATAAGAAATAATGTAAAACAAATATTAGGAAATGTCATCTCTTCCAGTTGCTTAAATTTGAAAAACGAAGTGATAGTTAAAAAAAATGTAGTAAGCTCCCACAGCATTAGCGAGAAGTGGAAAATTTGGTAAACAATCTTTTTTTTTTCGCATTTGTTGGATACGAGATTGATTATAGCCAACTCGGTGCTACGCGTCTCGTCGGTTTTTCAGTTCCATCTCGTATTCAACGCACGGTCAATAAATAATTGCTAAATTCATACTACTAGTTTTATTTTTGGGCATTTAGATTGTAGAACTCTGTCACGCCTTTGTGCCATCCAATTTATGGTGTTATCATACTGTAGATTAGCTTCCAGGCTCCCGCCAGCAGTTATCTGACTTTGTAAATCACTCTTATGAATACAGACCGAAATGATCTCCACTCGGTCCAGCTCCCCTCTGATAACGATAACACCTCTCTAATTTACCTGTTTGACATCCGTACAGTTCCACTCTCATAGCTATCCCGCCAGACCATGTTAATATGCGGAACCGGACATAACGCGACACAATTGGTGGAGTTAGGTCATGTGACACGATAGTGTCAGAGTCCATGTTACCAGTGAATTCCTTTATCAAAAAAAGGATTTAATCTTGTAAACAAATGATACACTGAATTTTAGCCAATCCAAATGGATTTCGTGAGCATCGGTAAACAGAAAATTGTAAAAACTACTTATTTTAGTTTACAAAATATGTTGAGACACCTCGAAGCAATCAAGGTCTGTGACTATGGAAGTAAGGTAAGGTTATTTTTCCTCTCCCTCCATTCCTCTCATCCATTCACCAGCTGTTCCGTCATGATGGTGGCAGGAGGAAGAGGGTGTGCAGGTAAGAAGAAGGGCGTTTCCTTTACATGCCTTGTAAGTTTACCTATCTAAATAATTGACATGTCTTACCTTATCTGTAAATCTATCCTGCTCCTTGTAATACTTGAAGTCCACTTCATTGTAACTGTATTGTAATTTGTACTTCGTTACCCATTCGGCCAAGCCATTCCTTCCCTGAGTTGCCACACGAGTTACCGTGGTGTAATAAGTACCCCCCATGTCAATTTGTAGCCACTGGTTTTCATCTGTAACAGAAGCTGACCAAGCACCTGATTGGCTATCTGTGTTTTGAAAGCTAAGTCTACCCCGATAGGCATGCGCAGAAGAGGTAGCGGAAGAAGCGGTGATTTGCCCGTCAGATATTGCACCACTTTCCATGCCAAGAGTAGAACGGCATTCTGAAACTTTATGATAACAGATATAAAGAAAACAAAATTGTCATTTTTAGTTTTCTGTCACATCTTCGCTGGAGTCAAGATCATGCGACTTAAGTAAATTTCGACATGAGTGCCCGTTTTTTACCTCAGTTTTGAGAAAAAAAACTCATTGAATTGGAATGGATTATTTCAGATTTTAGTGGACTCCAATTCAGTCATATTTGCCCCAACTTCTATGTACAATCTTTTGAGAAATCTTAACAATTCAAAAACTCAAATAAATCCCTTGCTTCTAGTTCCAGGTTACACTTGTTATTTTTGTCGGTGAAATCTGCACCGTGACATCGTGATATTTCCCGTAATCAATCGTTTATTGGGTCCCGCAACTGGTATAGGAGGCTTCTTTGCTCACTATAGATTTCTAAGCACATGGTCAGTGTTAGACATCCTTTTGGAAATAGGGGATAGGCAACCTATAGAATAAACCTGCCACAAACATACCGTTCTTCAGAGGTCGAGCCTCTTCCGGCAAATAGGAACAACTACCATTCACACTTAGCACTGGATCACTGACTGCAATATCCCCAAGGTAACCGCCAACAACTCCTTCTATTAGAATCTGAAGAGAGCAGATAAACAAACAAGAGTAGATGGAAAAGTCTGAAAACACGGCACTTAACGAGACAACAATAAAGATAGCGTCGTAACAATAACAACGAAAACGTATCGTCGCCGAAATCGCTAATACTTTTTTTTCTTGGCGAAGGTGCGAAATCACGGCTAATTTGTACCTGATATGAATATCTCTGAAAGATAGGAATCTGTCCTCTCTTCCATGCATTGGCGCGAGAACCAGCAAGTCTCCAAATGAGTACTTTAGCCTCTCTGTCATGAGTTCTTAGGTACAAGTTTAGTCTTCCTGTGGTATTTCCATGCATGTGATACCAAAATGTGAAGCAATTTCTTGTAGGCACCGTAGGGCGTGTGACAAGCCAAGCCACATCGCCTTTCTGTTGCGGGAGGGACGCTTCGATGAACATAAATTTCTCGGCTGTCTCTGCAAGTATGCATGTCATTTGTTAGAGAATCAGGCATTTTTCTTTGAAATGTGGGAATTGAAGTTCAAATGGGCAGTTTATACATTAAATCGGTGGTTTAATTATTTCCAGTGTTTTTTTTTTAATCAAAATTGGTCTTTAGTTGAAGCCTGCTCCTAAGCCGAGC